TCATATTAAAGAATGTTTTCTCTGCTGAACGCAGCCAGTAAGTGCATTTGACAGACTTAAAAATTGAGTGAACACTTAATACTATTATTAGTATATTCTTCTATATCATCCAATCAAACGTGTAGACCTAGAAGAATACATTATTAGCAGAGAGCGTTCATTCAATTGTTGAATTCTTTGAACGCGCTTAACGTTTGTATAATACCATCACAATTAGTCACAACGTAAATCGAAATTTTAGGTCAAATTATGTCTACAATAGGTGATCGTAAGTTTTAAGACGTAGGAAACTGATCTATCACAATTGATTATTCTCTTCACATTCAATTGGCGAATTTCTTGCAAAAGACCATTTTTACTTCAACTTTGAATAATTCGATGAAAAAAAATCGTACAGAGCTTCGTAAAAAAGCAAATTAAAGGTAAAGATTCGCTCTTTCGAATGATGTAAATCGCATTTGTATACAATTTTTATTCCACTCCGTGGAGCTTCGCAAATTTCATAAAAAATTTTGAGGTCTGATATATCTTTATTTATGTTTGTGTAACTTCATGAAATCTCCAGAGACCGTCTTTTTAAGTAGCGATTCAACAAGTGGAGGTTTCTACCTGTAAAATGCTTTTTTAAATATCCCGATATGACAATTTTTGACGAAGTTATTGTATCTTGAAATTTGCCTATTTTTGCAGAGTGAACAGATATTGCGTTAATTTTGTTGCCCAGTGTATAATGTACGTACGTCTATTAAGTTGGATCCTCCATCATCGAAAATCAAATTTGGAATAGGTCAAAAATTTATTGCTTTTTAAATGTTAATTTAGTACCCCATTCCAAATTTTAGTGCTCACATCATTTAGGAGCAATAAAAAAAATGGGGAGATCCAGCTTACTAGCAAGTTGGACTCACCATAAAAAAAAAATATATACAATGCACGTATACAAAAAATAAGTATACAGGGATTATAATGCTAATTTAGTGTTCCAAAATAGAATCAAAAAATTCTAATATAGCGTTAATTCAAATATTACAACATATATTAAACATTATATCGTCGTATACAACACCTCCACTTAGAAAGCTCGTGATACACATATTTTTAAAAGTATTCATCTAAAATGATGCAGATTTGATACATATTTGAAAGATAAAATTCCAATTTGTCGCTAACCGTAAAAAAATAAAATGAATATATAAATAAATATAATAGACTCATTCCGACCGATGACATCGAGGCTTAAATTCCATTAATTGCTCGTCAAAGAATTCGGTGCTCGCATGATATTGGTATTAAAAGAATTCTTAGACATCATAGTATCAAAATATATGTATTTCCGATTTTAGTGCTCACTTAAAGTGATTGAAAATAATTAATTCGTCGCGAAAGAAGAAGGGCGCGCCGCGTTCTAAAATTTGTTACCTGATCGTCAAAGAATTCGGTGCTTGCATGATATTGGGGATGTACTTTCGAAAAGATGAACCCTCCGATTTTCTTCTCGATTAGTATACTATTGTATTTTGATGCCCTAATTACGAATATAATTATGAAAATTACCGACAAGATCATTTTCAATTTTTTTAAATTTTGGTTCGCCATATTGGCTCCGCCATTGAATTTTGCTAAACTGACTCCAGATTCGTAATCAGCGATCCTTTTTTAAAAATATATATATATATATATATACATACTTTTTGTTTGACAGGTTATTAATCACAATTGTTCAAGAACGATTTTTTTCTTAAAAAAAGTAGGGTTTTCTGCGCTCAATTTGTTTATAACTAATTCAAGTTACAAAATAAAAGTTTCTGTACTTAACTTGTTATTGAAGTATTGTATAATAATATCTGAGGATCATATAACAATTTATTGCATGTGCAGAAACCTTAAGAGTGGAGTTTGAGAACCAAAAAATAAAAGAGAAAAAGATATTATAAATACGAGTATACAACACCGTGCAGCAAAGGATTAAATATAAACTTTTACATTTTATGATCATAAGTAGAGTATGGTTCTATCGTGCCTCTCTCTCCTCTGCAAAGGAGCGCACAATTTTCTACGCAAAAAGCGTGAAAAAATGTGAAAAAAATCGTTAGTATATCAATCGACAAGAAAATCAAGCAGTTCATTTTTTCGGAAGTACATTCAACATTAATTCGTCGCGCAAGAGCGCCCGCCGCGGCGCGTAGAGAAAATCCTTTAATTCTCTTTGTCGGCGACGTGCTGCGCGACAGTCCTTTGACAAACGTCGCACCGGCGATTATTCAAAAAAAACTTTCATTGTATCGGTGATTTGGCCATGAGATTTCACATAATATATAGACATTAATCTAAATACGATTACAAAATGCCTCATGTATTTACTATTATCGACTTTTTCTGTCTCCTCAAAAAGGTGATGAAATGGGATTCCACGATGAATAAAAGTAAATCAGCGCAGCACTGAAAACGCATAGATGTGGTTCCGATGGCTTGTAAAGAGGATTAAATTCAAATATGTATATATTTTGATACTACGATGTCTGTAAGGATTATTTTAATACCAAAATTATGCGAGTTCCAAATTCTTTGACAATCGGATAACGAACTTTAGAGCGCGGCGCGCCCTTCTTCGCGATAAATTAATTATTTTCAATCACTTTAAGTGAGCACTGAAATTGGAAATGGATATATTTTGATATTGCGATATCTAAGGATTGTTTTAATACCAATATCATGCAAGCACCGTATTCTGTGACAATCGGGTAACGAATTTTAGAGCGTGACACGCGCTCTTTCGCAACGTATTAATTATTTTCATTAAGTTGGAGTGAGGACTAAAATCGGAAATGCATATATTTTGATACTACGATGCCTAAGGATTCTTTTAATACCAATATTATGCGAGCACCGAATTCTTTGACGAGCAATTAATGGAATTTAAGCCTTGGCGTCATCGGTCGGAATGAGTTTATTATATTTATTTATATATTCATTTTATTTTTTTATGGTTAGCAACAAATTGGAATTTTATCTTTCAAATATGTATCAAATCATTTTAGATGTGACTTTTAAAAATATGTGTACTACGAGCTGTCACACTTTTTTTTCAATGGGTTTCAGAATACAGCCTCTCGTAGAGCGGTTGAACTGGTCCATAAGTAAGAACCAATCGCTCCAATGAACATAGACTGCATTTCATAATCTATCGAAAAAAAGTGCTGCAATCTTACTGTGACTCATTGTACATTACAATCTCGATCCCCCGCAACTCGCGATCTCACGTAAAGGAATACACGGTAATGTCTCAATAAGCAGAACAAGTCATTATGATATTAAAATGATGTCAAAATGACTTCAAAATGATCATTAAAAGTCATTTTTCAATCATTTCCGATTTATTTTAATGTCATTATAACGTTATCATGACTTATTGTTCTGCTTGGAGTCGCAGCGCTTGTCATAGTACCGAGGCACTATCGTATTTCCTGATACGCAGAGTTTAATAAAGAGATTAAAGAGCCTATATATCATTTTCATCAATTTATTTATAAATCTAACTTTAATCCAAAATTTAGAAA